TTAGGTCAACTTTGCCAAGACCTAAGAGCAAAGGAAGAGGCTCAATGCAGGAACAAAATGACTATAAGAAAATGGAAACTGAGGCAGTACAGTATGAACCAGGGGGAAATGTTATCAATCACTGAGGACCTCAGAGGCTAGCAGCTTTGGAAAAGACTTTAGCATTTTATGTCCATGTGTTTTCTAAGCCATTTAATATACTCCTTACTTGCCAATTTGGATCATTCTGCTTTCTGAGGTTTTTACTATATAAGTAAGAGTGATTTTTTATTTTTTAATATAAAATTGGGATAGTGGTCTTGATTATATGCTTTTAAGTACACAGTTGAGCACACCTGATCTCAGCTGACACCATCATTCTCCATGTGGTGCCCAAAATGTTTACGCCCCTTGCCCAAGGTCATACAGTAATTAGGGTCAGGCGTCCTGTTAAGTCTTTATTGGCTATAGTACCTGCTATAAGATTTCCTGGAAGAAATCCCTACTTTAACAGGGGGAACTTAGTAGATGCAATCTCAGGATTCTAGTGTCAGCACCACCACGCCATATTTTAGGTATTGGGGAGGCCATTTTATGTCACTAAGTCTTGCTAAAAACCTTATTTGACTCTAAAATTTTATGAAGTCTGTCAACTTCAAGCTACTTCTCTGATGAAACTGAAACTCAGAAATTTATGATATTTGTGATTTGTTTATTGCTTCCATTATCTTCAATACCTGCCCCTACTCTGCTCCATTTGACTTAGCTAATAAACCTTTTATTGTTCTGCCCCGGGGTTCACAGAACCTTTAGAGGCTGTTTTAGAGTTTAGGTTTTGAATAGGCAAAGGGAAATTAATTCTAATAGCATAGCTTTCCCTTATTTCATATAAAAAACAAAATTAGAATTTACATTTTATTATTGATCAAAAATAATACGTAGAGTCAGAAACTGTTAAGATATGAAAGACTTTTCTCAGAGGTGATCTTTCCTTCTGCAAAACATACTCCATCACTGTGGTCTCTGATGCGAAGCTACAATGATCTGATTGCAGACATAGCACTTCCTGTACATAGCACGCTCCTCTCTCACCTTCTGTGACATCGTCTTGATCCTCCAAAGAAGGATATTTGATCACTGAGAAATCCACTTCCAACTCTGCAAGTCATGTATTATTTTTCTTCAAGATATGGTATGGAAAGATGAGAGGGAAAACAAAAATCCCCTTCCTATTAGGGTAGGGGTGAGGTTCCGGAGTTCTTTAGAAACGGTTGTATCAGAGGTCTAATAACTCCTTTGAAGGACCAAGTTGCTGCATTTTTTGTCATTGTGTTCCCATCTCTGCCATTTTCTGCAGTAATTTACTTGTCAGAAAGATCACAGGAAACTAGTAATTTACTTTGTGCACAAAGCATTGTGTGACTGTGGCTGCCTTTTCTCATAGGACTGTAATCTTTCGTTTGTCTAAATGGAATGATGGATGAGCAGATACCCCTGCTTGGCATGCCCAGGCTGCTCTGTGTCCACGCCTCTCATGCCTTCCTGGCATAGCTCTTCTGACTGAGACCCCCCTGGAATAAAGGGAGCTGCAGGACCTAAGAGAAAGACTTGAATGAGGTTCTCCAAGATAGGTTGAGCCTCTGGAAACCAATCCATAAAATTGGAAACATTTACATTGTTCAGTATATCTTAGTCTCATTATATTAAAAAAAAAAGTTAGATAAAATTACTTGTTTTGTTTATGCAAAAAAAATCTGATCAACATACTCAGCACCTCACAGTTGCTCACGTAAGACGAGATTAAAAAAAATACATTGCCTGTGGTTGACCCCTTTCCCTTTCCCAGCCAAGGGAAAAAAAGCCACTGCATCTGCTAATTACTATTAGTTTTCATTCATAAAGATGTTTCAGTGGTCTTCTCTACACACACTACACCTCTTCAGCCCAAACTCTGTGCTGAATGAACATAAACAGGATTAACAACTTCACAATTTTCCCAGGCTTCATTCCCAGCCACCCGTTTCACGTAAGTGACAGTAATTAAAATGAAAAGAGTTTAAAATTTAATAAGAAGGTTTCAGTTGAGATAATTATAGAGACGTTCATAGGCTTTCAGAACCCTCTTCACTATCAGAAATAGTTTGGATGTTTTATTTCAATTTTGTCTGTGCAATTTACAGCGTGAATACTTGAGCCCAGCAACTCTGTTATCTGGGCTGGGAGGAAATGTTGGAGTCGAGGAAGTCTCCCACATGTAATGTTAAGCCTTCAGGGTCACCGCTCTCAAGAAACAGGGGACAAGAGGTAGGGTCCTTCATATGGCAAAGAGTGTGTCCGAAAAACCAACAGCAAAGATCATATTTAATGTTGAAATACTGAAAGATTTCCTGCAGGAGTGGTGGGAAGTGAAATTTTTGTTGAGCTGAACTCATCCTCTCCCTTCTCCTAACCACTCACTTCCTCTCTGGGAGGCAAATTCTGTAGAGATGTGAAGCATCTTCTCCTCAAGTTTAAACATTAAGGGTACAAGGATAAGACAGGGCTCCTGTCCTTGGAGGGCTGGATAAGGCAGGCAGAATCGAACTGACTGTAATACATTGTGATAAGTGAATGCCAGCAATTCAAAGTACTGTGAAGCAAAGACCCCTCAAAATATTCGTTATAGATACCTTTTCAAATGTATAAAAATTCATGAATGTTTCTAAAGAGAGTTTAGGAAACAATAATTATGTCTACTGGCACATAACCAAGCCTAGTGCCCAAAGTTTCTGAGTAATAAGTACGTCATTCATTCATTCATCCATTTCAAACATTTATTGGGTCTTACTCCTTGCCTGGCAATGTGCTTGGTCCTCGGGCTACAAAGATAATTTTGAATTGGTGGCTCCTATGCCAGGAGCTGAGTGCTGGATATCAGAAAGCAGATGGAAAGAACTTGGATAGTATGGAGATGTTCAAACGTGATTCTGTGAGCAAAGGGAAGTGTGTAGATCTGATTGTCACTTTGTTCTTTAACTGGGGAAGAAATGCTCTGATGGGATCTTTGGAAAGAAGTTGAGTGGGAGTGGGAAAGGCTGACATCAGGGAGAAGCAATGCTCCCTGTCCAGATGATAAGGGCTTGAACTAGGGTAGACAAATTCGCTCTGGAGGCAAGAAATTTGAAAAAATAAAATAAAAAGGAAATAGGGCATAATTCAAGAATTTAAAACTGCAATTAAGAAAAACTGACTCTGGCTATGTAACAAAGATGGATTTTACTGGAAGGATTTTATCTGACTGGTCTAGATAAGCAGTGCGAGGCTGGAGAATCAGATACAGAAAATGTGCAGTAAAGGAACCTCTGGACAATCAAGAGCAGGGAGGATTTCCCCTCTCTTAGAGGAAAAATGAGTCCCAAATGCAGAGACATTGCTGCTGCTACTTGGCATGGCCCCATCTAAATCTGCTGCCCTGGGTCTGTACTCTGTTTCAACTGTGTTAAAGCTATTTGGACTCAGAATTCTGGGTGCCAAGCATGAAGGTACAGGGAGAAAACCAATAATTCTGGTGGATTCTCCTCGACTGGAAAGGGAGATTTGGACATTGAATGGTCCTGGTGACCACTGCTCCCTCCGAGGTTTATCATCAGGGATCTAGACTTACTGACAGAGCGAATGATGACGACGATGTAAGGACAATGGGACACAGACCCAGAAGGAATGCAGTGATGAGTCAGGGTCAGATGAAGTTTGAGATAGCTTTGGGAAAACCAAGTAAAAGCCCAGAAGCTGGAGACTGTGGTTTCTGGACACTCGGGCAAAGGTCAGAGCTAAAGACAAAGACTTGTGAGTCCCTTTATCTCCCTCTAGCGCTGCTGTCTGTCCAGAACCACCCAGGGGAGCTCTGCTCATCCCTAGTCTTGCTACTATTATCTCACTGTCTGTGTGTTTCTGTATTTTATTCCATTCCCTTGTCTTTCAAAATGGTATTTTGTCCCACGGTTTGGGAGGAAGTTAATCTTCAATTGCCCGAACTCACACTGACAATTCAGAGGGAAGAGTATGCTAGGAATGTGCCTGTATATGCCCTACACTCAGATGCCACTTTCTCTTCATGGTGAATCAGTCATTTTGAGGAGTGTTCCCCAGTGATTCCACACATAGTTAAGAGATCAGTGGCCAGAAGGTTAGTATTTTTAAGTAAGAGATCTCCCTGAGTGCTTGCCATTTGATGGACCAAAAAGGAGGCAGAGGCATTGGTGTCTACAATCTGATTTAAGGCTCCCCCATTGCTCGTCTTAGCTCTAGTTCACTCTAGCATCATTTAAGGTCTGAGATGTTGCAGTTGATGCTTCTGCATAGAGAATTTCAAGCTGGGATTATAGAGGGACAAAGGGTGGGGGTGGGGTGGAGTGGGAAGGGGTAGAGGAGGGGCAGACTGGGTGGGTGCCTTTTTTTCTGTTTAACCACAGCAGCAGCTCTGATTTTATCTTTTCTGTGGGTTAGAATTTTATATAAAATTTATTTTGAGGACAGAGTTCTGATGTTAAAAACAAGTTTACAAACCATTGCTTTCAATTGGTAGTTCTCAAAACTTTTTTTGATTTCAGGACACCTTTCCACTTTTAACAGTCACTGAGGACCTTAAAGGCAATTTATTTACATGGATTTCATCCATTAATATTTGCCACCTTTGAAATTAACACAAAAAATTTAAAATATGTATTTATTATATTAATTTTAAAAGAACAATAATAAACCCATTACATGATAAGATAAACATTATGTTTTTGTGAAAAATAATTATATTTTCCAAAACAGAAATAGTAGGAAGACAGGCAGCATTTTACATTTTTTTTTTTTGCAAATATTGCCTGGCTGAGTAGAGGGCAGATGGATTCTCATATCTGCTTCTGTACTAAATCTGTTACGATACGTTGTTTTGGTAGAAGTAGATAAAAAAAAAAGCAGATCTCATAGAGATATATAGTTGGAAGGAGGAGGACTATTTTTTAAGTCTTTCCAGAGAACTGTGGCTTTTCTTCTTTGACACTAGACCAAAACTCGAAATTAATAGTTTCTTAAAAGTTAATTGTCAGGGGAGCGTATAGCTCACTGGTAGAGTGTATGCTTAGCGTGTATGAGGTCCTGAGTACAATCGTCAGAATCTCTGTTAAAATAAATCAATAAGCAAATAAATAAACCCAGTTACCTCCACTCCCTGAAAAAAAGATTAAAAAATAAATAAATTTTAAGCAAGTTAATTGTAATGTGAGATCAAAACCCGCATCGATAAACATTCTGAACTCTGTAACATTAAAATACATTCATTTATCTTATACTTTGTTCCCTTTGTCTTTTTGTTTGTTTATTTGTTTTGTTATTGCTTTTGATGGAGGTAATGGGGATTGAACCCAGGAGCTGCTAAGCACACATGCTAAGCATACACTCTACCACTGTGCCCTACCCACCCTCCTGTCTTACACTTTGGATGGATCTTGTACCCATGAAAAGCTCCGTAACTGCATTCATTGGGCATCTGGAAAATATTGGCTCACTACTGAATTATGTTGTTTTTCAAATTGATACACTTCATGTTGCAATCTCAGAAATTATCTTCAACAATATTATCACTGATTTCATCCGAAAAAATCTCCAAATATTGGGAATCAGTCAAACTCAGAGCACGGGATTACAGATTTTCAAAATTCTAATTTTGCTTGAAAGCTTTTATTTTATTAATGGCAAAAAATACTATCAGCTATTTTCCTTGAAGTGACAGGCTCACTTTACTTTCAAAAAAAGTCCTTAAAATACTTATTTCTGACTAACCATAGTTTTTCTGTTAGTCATTCTTTCAAGATAAAGTGTGTTTCATGGAAAAAGTGTGTAGCTCAGCTTGCAATTAAAATAGTCACACAAATGCTTTTCCTCAGGGCAACCAACATATTTCTGTACGCAGCTTAGAAGTGCTTTACATCCTCTTACCATTTCATCACATAGACTATTAAAAAGATGTGTACTGAAAGATAGAGATTTAATAAAATGAACACACATTTATTCCTCCTCAAGGACATTCTTGAGTGAAATTTGCTTTTTATTTTTCCCTGTGAGTGCCTGACATACTAAAAGTACTGGTGGCATTGCCCTGATTCCTACCAAGGCAACAGCAATTTTATTCACCACTGCTTTTCTAGCATCACTAGAATGTCACTAGAGTGAAAATGATAAATATTGCTTTTGTATTATTATGAAAATACACACACACATATCTACAAATATATATATGCATATATATTATGCACATATACATATATATGCACACATACATATATATTGCTTTGCAGTATTTGTGCCACTGGTTTTTGATTAATTGGTGGAAACTTTATTTAGATACTCGTGAAAAGTGAAGAAGTGACAATTCCATTTATACTTGGTAAAATGATCAGCTTTCTTTGGCTTCTGAGACTAAGCTGGTGAGGTGAGTTTCTGCACTAAAGACATTCCTGGACAGATGGACTGTATAAGCATGACTTGCAGTTCTGGAGTATTCCCTGATTAGCTTCTAAGGCCCTTGACTAGAAGATGTGCGAAAGGAGTGCTTTCATGGAAGCTGGTGTCTGAGCATCTCCTTTGCCAGGTGTTTCTCCACATCTGCATGCCTTATGGGCTGCCTGATAGTCTACATGTAGGGGACTTAGCTACTTCCTCTGTAGAACAGGGCTAATTCCATTCATTTCTGACCCCTGGTGAAAATGTTTTGAAATCTCCTCCTGATAGATGCTAAAGTAAAGAAATTATTTCACTTAATAGGTTTATTGATTGATTCGAGTAATTGATTTTATGGTCTCTAATAATATCATGTCTTACTCTGTGAAGTAAAAGACTCTAAGCAGTCCATATAAAATTGAAGGTGGGAAAATATCCTGCTAAAATATCCTAAAGATGAAATATCTCAATAAAAAATATGAGAATTTCAACAATCAGGACTCTTTTGCTGCCTCAAACTCTCTGGCTCCTAGAGGGCTAGTCTAGGCATCACCCCTAATCTCTTGTCAGAAAGGCCCCTCAGTTAGGTGAAATCATTTCTCATTGATGTACTCCACTGAAGACGCCATCCATCACTGTTATGTGGGATGTAGAGCACTGAGATCTTAAATTGTGAAGAAATGAACAGTTAAAAACCAAGAGGTGTTTTTCTCTAATCCACAGAGGAACTAAAAACTGCTACCTAAGATCAAATAAGCCTCGCTTTCAATTTTGGCAACATAGTTGTGTGTTCCATTCCCCCCGCCCCACCCTGGCTCTAATCCTGCCTCTTGTTTTAGAAAAGCTGAAGTCGCCTAAGCCTCCAGGAGTCGTAGAAGAGCAGGCTCAAGCAGATGATTAGGACAAGCCTGCAGGCCCTGGGGGATGGCGACGACTCTGACTGCCTATCTCAATGATTAACTGAGATTATTCTCTCATTTCCCTTTAAAATTTTTATGGCCGAATAGAGTCTAGAGATTTTGTTTGTTTTCACGGGGATGCTGGGTCCACCAGATTGCAGGCATTCTGATTAAAAGCAACTTTCCTTTTTGTTACCAAGGCTGTTGTCCCTAGGATCATATCCCTGCCCTTCCCTTGATTAGAAACCAATTACTCTTATCTAAGTGTCAGGAGACAAGAGAAAAAATAAGAACTGGCTAGAACCCACAGAGCTCAAGATGGTGGAGGATCTGACTTCCAGTGGACCTTGAGCCTCTTTATACGGTCATCGTAATGCATTAGCATGCTAAGTGACACACCCACCAGCGTCATGACAGTTGACAATTGCCATGACAACAACCAGAAAAGTCCATACAAGGACTGAAAAGTCCATACAAGGACCGATTGGCCCCAGCACACCAGGAACAAGGATGCAATGGCAGAAGCTTCTGACAAAAGGCCACGTGGCCTGACCGGGGCTGGAGCTGTCTCTACTGCCGGTCTTGGCTCACAGCTCCCCACTTGAGAGCGTCTCTTCCCTTCTTTCTGCTTGAGCACTTTCCTTCCATTTCCCTTTCTGAGCAATAAAGTGGCTGTTCACTTCATTCCTCTACCTCTGCTGCGTGAATTCTTTCACAGCTGGCGGCAAGGACCCACACTTTGATGAGCTTCCTAATTTAGGGGTCCCCCCATCTGCTAACAGTTGTGGAAAAGAGCATTATGAAGCTGCATCCACTGTGGTATGGTTGTTTAATTTATATTGATTCTCTGTACCTGCTTTGAGGTTTGGCTTGGAAAGGTGGACATACTGATATATCCAAAGCTCATTTCTTAATACTGGTCATAAAAAAAAATTTAGTTTAAACTTCTGCTTTAAATCTAGTATATGGAAAGAAATGGCATCAAACCTTTTGCCACGGTACTTCCTGAAGATGACCTTGTCAGAGTTCTGATCATTACTGTGGCAGCTGAGGTCAAAGAGTAAATTCCACTTGTGCAACTTGAGACCTAGCTTGCTCTAGGATTTAAACAACTCTGAGGCTCCAGGGTCCAGATTTGCACAGGCTTTGAGGCAAGCTGCCTGCTTGCATAATGTTCAGGTGCCCTCTGCTTTTTGAATATGCACAACTTCCATTTGTTCATGCAGATTTGGTAATTGTCTATTTAATCACCTATTTGCATGCACAATTACTCAGTTTGGGCACATCCACACAACATTTGCATATGTAAATCATGTCTTGGGCTCCAGCAAAATGACTGCACCTGCAAATTGCAGCCGGGTCCATTTATAAGCCCTTAGGGGGGATCAGCCTTGTCCCAAGAGGGAGAGCAAGACCACATGGGCTTGAAATCCAAATAGTAAGCATTCATTGTGTGTATAATGAAATCGATTTTATTTTAAGCCTAAAAAGGAAAAAGTTAGAAAGAATATTGTTTATTCTCTAATAGATGGAAAAGCAATGACAGAAAACTGTAATAAGAAAGCAAAGGAAGAAAACCAGAATAAAGAGTATTGTAAGAAAGAAAAACAATACTGAGATGAAGCTTCTCCCCAAACCCTCTGTCAATATAACATTTGTTACTGTTGATATTTAAAAGAACAGAATTTTTTTTTTCCTAATGGAGATACTGGGGATTGAACCCAGGGCCTTGTGCATGTCAAGCATGCGCTCTATCACTGAGTAGATTTTTTAGAACTAGAGGTCAGAAGGCTGAAATTGAAGTCATTGCCCTCTTTGGTGGGAAATGGAGCAAGTGACACAAATGCAAGGCTTTATGAAGATCTCTTTCTTCTCCCACCAGTGATAAAATTGCCTTAAGGTCCTAGGCATGAGATTGCTTTCCTGTTCTCAGAAAAGTTTAACTCAGCTCTCTGGGGCTCCTTTAATGACTTAACTGTCAACATAGAATGTGCCCAAATAAATATGGAGAAAATTAACATGTGTACAGAGAATGGAGGGGAACATAACTTCTTGCTATTATGCATAGGAACTTCTGGCCACTCAGAAAACAGCCTCTCCAGCTTTAGTTTGAATGTCTTATTTGAAAGCTTGCTTAAAATTCAGATCATGAGGCCATCCCAGAGACTGATTCAGTGGATGTGGGACTGGGCCCAAGAATGTGCATTTTATCCAACTGTCCAGGGAATTCTGATGTATGTGAGTTTGGAGCATGCTCTTTTTGGGGAGAAGGGTAGATAATTAGGTTTATTTATTAACTTATTTTATTTTAATAGAGGTATGGGGGATTGAACCCAGGACCTTCTGCATCCTAAGCACATACTCTATCACTGAGCTATACCCTCCCTACCCTTGAAGCACACTCTTTGAAACACTGATTACTATGGCTTTCAAGGAAACTGATGTGTGTGTGTGTATGTATTTCTTCTCCAAACACACAAAAAGCTCTTCCTGATTCTAAGAAGCCAACTCCTTGACTGATGCGTAATAAACTTACACAGTACAGTTGGTTTTCAGTGAGGTTTGTAACAGCAACCAGGTTTAGCTGAGTATGGCTATTAATAGCACGCAAGGATGGGCATGCAAAATTGTCCAAAACCCCACCTCCACATAACATCAGACCTGCCTTGTTTAGAGCCCCAGGGAACCAGGAAGCCCTAGTTCAGCCACAGCAAAGGCCCGCTCTCCCTGGAACAAGGTTGAGCCACAATACCAGGCTGAAAGCTAAGTAGAAGCATTTCTAGGTCGTGGTGGCTTATTAATTGCTTGTTGTTGTGGTTTTGTTAATACATTGATTTACCTTTTCTGGTGTTTCTCTACGTACAATTTTGAACAATTTTTTTTTAAAACAAGTTAAGAATATATGTATCAGTCCTGCCATTATTACCTGCTGTTGTTTTTCCCCAGCATCTCCAACGTCATTAAAATACCTTTCTACATAGTTTTGTCTGTAAATATTCTATTTTATGCAAGCATTGTAATTTATTTTATTACTATTTTAAATTTTAAACACAGAAGTTGTTTCCACTTAAAAAATGTAAATGACACTATGATGAACGTAATTTGTACACATTTAAAAACTTCATTTTTTAATATTTATTTAAGATAGATTGTTAAAAGAAAGAACTTGATACAGAGGGTGTATGATTAATTAGTTTTGATCACAAGAGCAGTTATGCAAGAAATAAGTCTTTAGCAAATTTTGTTTCCAAAAAGAGGTTAATTTACTTTGATTCATTTTTTGAAGGTGATGGGTTTTAAAAGGTCCTGGGTCTGATTTGTTACAGTGGCTGTGATAAGCAGGAAACATTTTCCAAGATGTCTTTAATGGAAAGAATTTCAAAAAAGAAGTACAACCAGATGCTGATTGTGTTTGACGGAGACTTTTAGATGAAGTAGCTGAATTAGTTTCTCAAGAGGGGATAGAAATAAGTCCCACGTGATTATCGCCTTTAATGCTTACCAGCAGGTTGGGTATTATTGTCTCTGTGTTGCAAATGAAGAAACTAAGACTTAGAGAGGTTACAGTCACACAACTAAGAGCTGAGAGAGGCAGGATTTGAACTCTGGTCTTTCCCACCGGATTCTGAACATCACCCTGGCTGATTTCAAGCAAGCAGGGAAATTGACATCTTCATCTATCCTCTCTTCTGTGACTGTTCTCCCAGAGGAAGGGCTGGCCATTAGTTCCTTTTTCTACCACTGACCTTGAAAACCATCTATCTCTTCCAGTAATTACTTGGATGAAAATGGTGAACCCAGCTGCTTCCCTGGTGATTCTTTAGCTCAGTCTCATAAAAGCTGCCTTTGTAAAAGCTGCTGCTTGTCTGTTTCTTCTACTTGATAATTCCCAAGGGCAAGATTACCTGCTACCAGCTGCTCCTCTCTACATGCAAAGGGATTGAGGAAAACCAAATGCTGATTAAATCTACACATTGTCTTTCCCATTCCCCTCCAGTGAACACCGAGAGAAATCACTGGAGTCAGAAGACATTGGCTTTTAGCTTTTTCAGAAACCCCAACAGGATTATTAAACTGATAAAGGCAAGAAACAACAGACTAGTTTCCTCTAATCTGCATGGAGGTTGTATCCAGCGTTCCTCTGCATTCTTCCTCCATCCAGGGGCTTTTAATTTAAAATTTAGCCATCATAGATGTACTCATGAGAGAGATAAGGTGTCTTTTGAAGTCAGGCTGCCTATTAGTAACAACTTAGTCAGAAAGTCTGTCCCTCCCAGGATACTAGAAGAGTTTCTAGGATCCTTTGTTTGTTACACACACATTGAAAATTCCCTGCTTACGTACGTCTTTTACTAATTAATTGTTGATAACAGCTACATATTAGAAATGCTGTGCGAGTACACCTTGTTTTCCATTCATTTTGAAGAGTATGTCTTCTTGCTCCTTCTATAGAATCACTGGAGAGCATTTTTAAGGAATGCTTAACTTTTCCTAAGAGGTGCTTGTGCTGAGAATCAATCTCTGTATTATAATGTGTTAAAAGGGGGCTCTTCCAGACTTAATATCTACAGACGTGACCATGTGATAACTGTGAGGATACCAAATATGCAGAGCCCTATGTGCAGAATTTTTGAAGGACATTGTAGAGGACCAGTTCTTTGGCTCTTAGATCCTTGTAAGATCAAGAATATATAAAAAAGAATCAGAAAGTGGAGAGAAATGTTGCAAATACTTTGGAAAATAATTTGGCCGTTTCTTCATAAATTAAATATAAATTTACCGTATGTTTCAGCAATTTCACTTTTAGAAATCTCCCAAGAACAATTTAAGTATATGTCCACACAAAAACCTGTACACAGATGTTGACAGCAACATTATTCATAATAGCCAAAAACTAGAAACAACTAAAATGTCCATCAACCAGGGAATGAATAAGCAGATAGTGGTATATCCATATAATGGAATACTATTTGAGAATAAAAGAAACAAAATACTGAAACACACCACAGCATGGATTAGCCTCAGAAATGTTACTCTAAGTGAAAGAAGCAAAGAGCACATATTGTATGATTCTATTGATAGGAAATGTGCAGAACAGGCAAATCTACAGAGATAAAAAGTAGATTAAGGGTTGCCTGGACCTCGGTGTGGGAACAGGTAGTGACTGAAAAACATCTTTTTGGGGTGATGAAAATGACCAATTTTAACATCTTATTGATAATACAGAGAATACAGAATACAGAGACTGATTCTCAGCACAGACACCTCTTGGGAAAAATTAAGCAATCTTTAAAAATGCTCTCCTGTGACTATAGAATGAGCAAGAAGACATACACTTCAAAACTACTGGAAAACAAGGTGTATTTGCACAATATTTCTAATACGTGTCTATTGCCAACAATTAGTAAAAGATGTACGTAGGCAGGTTATTTTCAGTTTGTGTATAATAAAACAAGAGATTCTAAGAGTTCTAAAACTGGATTGAGGCAACTATCGCACAACTCCGTACATTTAAAGTCAATGAATCGTACACTTAAAATGGGGGAGACGGTATGTAAATTACACTATAATAACAAAGCTGCTTTAAAAACTAGAGAAAGTAAAAGAAAGTGAATGAAAGAGATTTTTCAATAGCTCTTCAGTGTCCAATATGGTAGTCACTAGCCACACAGAGCTAGTCCAAACTGAGATGGTCTTTAACTGTTAAATATACACAAGATTTCAAAGACTAGATGTCACAAAAAAAAGAGTTAAATGATCTCATTAGTAATTGTTATATATCAGTTACATGTTGAAATAATGTTTGGGATATACGGAGTTAAATAAAATATACTATCATCATTATTTCTATGTTTCTTTTTAGTGTGGCTACTGGAAAATTAAAATGATGGGTATGGTTCACTCTGCCTTTCTATTGGCAGTGCTGCTGTAAAGAGAGCTGCTGCCCTGACACCCCTGGCCCCTGGCAATCCCTAAAGCTGTGTCTGAGTGAGGAGGGCCAACAGCTAAATAAAGGCTGAGGGCGAGTTGGAGAGAAGCTAGTTGAAGAAAATGCTCATTGCCCTGCTCATGAAAATTGGAAGACAAATAAGAAAGAGCTAGGTTCTGTTTCTGATTCAAAATTTGCCTACTGAATATACTGATTATGCTATAATAGACCCTCTCTTCAAAAACCAGGCAGCTGTGGGACAGAGTTTCAGGAGATGCTATTCAGAGCACAGTCCAGGTGAGAGGTGCTCAGGCACAGGGAAAGCCAAAGAACCCACACGGGTGCTCAGCAGAGTCTACTTCAAGCACATGGCTTCACCAGAGAGCGTGGGGCCAGCTCACAAAGTCACCAGGTCAAATAAGAATTTTCTAATCCTGGTACAGAACCCCACCCTGCCCCACTGCTGCCCTCTCACAGAGGCGTCAGAAATCAGCCTGCAAAAAATGGGGATAAGGTGAGAGGGAGGTAGAGGGAAGATAAACTAGGAGAGAAACAGATAAAGGGCTAATTCTGCCTCCTTTTCTCACCTCAGACTTTTAGCCTACGACTGGTCCGAGCTGGAGGTGGGAAAAATATCTGACACTGAATTTCTGGCCATTGATTAATATACTGGTCTAGATGCTAATTTCTGATTTAAGAACTCATTTATGATTTAAAGAGGCCATATGATTATGATTTAGTTAAAAGCCTGGAAAAAAAGTTGTGGGTCTGCCTGAGTTTTCATCCAAGGGCAATAAAATGTCAGTACCTTTAAAGTGACAGTGACAGTGACAGAAGAACTGAGTTCTGATGATAAGTCAAGTTGTGCTTGTTCAACAGAATGATTACACTGTAATGACCTCCCTCTTCCAAGGCAGGGCTGTCACAGTGCAGAGTTCCTGGCATTTCCTGGATTTTACAGGGTAGCACCTGTTGGCCGCGTGGAGTCCCACGAGGGTGGGTGTGGTGGGGAGTCAGGCCAACCAGGCCTACATTTTCTTTCAATGATGAGAAAACATAAAAGGCGCTAAGTCCAAGGTTCAGTCTCAGGCTGATCCTAATTCCCAACCACGTGCTCCTTTTTCTACAAGAGGGTAAAGGGTCAAACCCAGCACATCTTGAAAATGATTACCTTTTGTGAAATAGGATCCCTTGTTCAGAGGCCTGCAGGGCTTACAATGACTCTTAAAGTCAACAGTGCCATCGCTCTGACCAGTAATGCTATCAGTGCCTCATCGATTGCTGCTAAGTGAGTGTCAGAGTCCAGACAAATGAAACGTAGCCTACACATGTCTAAATCCCATGCCCTTTGGTGCTACGGCTCGGTGCTCCCAATGGACACTGCTTAAGTGAAACTGGATACAAAGTGTTAGGCCTACAGGACTAAGCAAATTAGCTGTGAGCACGCTCTAACGTTCATCATCAGTCAAGCTATCCTGAAAATAATAAATATATTTTTTGACTTTTAACTTTGTATAGTAAGTTATTAGACACCCAATGCAGCCTTATTTCTGAGAAATTCTTTTAGGGGCAACATAATACTATAAAATATGATAAATCAATAGTATACTGTATTATTAAATGTACCTTAGAAATAGATTCCTTGCTCCTCACATGACTTAGATTTTTGTGTCTGTGTTCTCTTAATTGACGGCTCAGCTCTGTCTTCTACCTTGCAAATTGTATCTGATTTTCCTTTTGAGCGCCGGCCAAGCTCTACCTTGTTCACATGCAACGCCTGAGTGAGCTTATCAAGATGATAAAAGTCTCGAGATGACGACACGGTGGACGTGGCTCAGATGGCAAGTTTATGTTTTAATATTCCAATCGCTCGAGGAAGAAGCAAATGAGACGTAACATACACAATGCAAACCCAGAATTACAGTCAGCCTCCCGGAGCGCCATGCTCGGCCACCCTCCTTCCATATCCGTCTCCCTGTGCAGCCGGCCAAAGGCAGGAGTCAGTTTCTGCTGATGACTCTATCCCACATCGTGGTCTTTGCACGTGTCCCTGTCTCTTCTTGGGATGATTTCCTTTTCATTTCCTGTGTTTGACCACAGCCTTTCTGTCCTTTCACTCTCAAGTCAAATGCCAGCTTAGACCACCCCACTAGGTTCTTCTATGGCTTTCTATCTCAGCCCATTCTTTTTTCTCTCACAGCAGTAACACATCTTGACATTATTGTACTCACTTTACTTTTTGTCCTTCTCAGTCCAGCATATGCTCTGTGAAGGCAGGGATTCAGCTATCTTGTTGACAATTTTATCTCCAGAGCTGCCCTCAGTCCCCTGATTTATAGTTATAGTTCAATAAACACTTGTTAGATGAATTAAGTGGATAAATGAAAAACATCTCTTGGAATCCTGATGATAAAATGTAGGCTTATGGGGCCAGACATTTAAGAGGCAATGTCATACGGAGATTATGAACACGGGCCCTGTGGCTGTGGCTTTGCTGGTCACTCACTGTGTGGCCTTGGACATCTTACATTCTTTTGAGCCTTAGATTCCTCAGCTGTAACACAGTAGACGATTCGTTGAGTTGTCGGGACCACAGATGAACAATGCCTGCGCAACACTTCACAAGGTCTGGCCCTTAGTTATTAATCAATAAGTGTTACCTATTTTTATATAAGATCTCCAAAGGAGGATATTCCGGACTCATTCCAGGTAAAATAACAATATATAAATTCCCTTTGTTTGGAATGCTCAACTGAGCACCTTATGTGGGTTCTTCAACATTCCCCGTGCCCGAGCCCGTCTCACCTAAAAATGTGGCCCATCACCTGCAACAAAGTCGTCTGACAGACACATGTGCTAAAAATATAGACCATTTGATGAAGTCCTGATCTACTGGATTAAAGTGAACCCCAGGAATCTGCATTGTCATAAGCTCCTAGGATAAAGTTACCAGATAAAATACAAGACGCTTGGTTAATTCTGAATGTCAGATAGTCCAAATGGGACACACTTAGGCTAAAAAATTATACTTGGTATAACTGAGATTCAAATTTAACAGAATTTGTATTTTTATTTGCTTATCTGGCCATCCTATCCTAGAGAGACTCTTTCACACAATAGTCTAAAAAAACCACTGGAGTTTGAGCTTCTTGTAGAAATTTAGTGAGTGCATTAGAAGCATTTCATTTGTTAATAAATTTAGAGCAGTGTTTCTGAGCCACTGGAATCACCTGGGGTGTTTTAAAAATTATTAGGTCCCACCTCCAGAGATTGCACTTTAATTGATCTGTGGCGCACTGCAGGCATTGGGCATTTTAAAAAGCTCCTTAGGTGATTCAACGTGCAATCAAAGCTGAGAACCAGGATTGGAAGAGAGAGATGGAGAGACAGCTGAAATTCTGATTATGAACAGATAACATTAAAACTGGAGTATAACATTAAATGGTCTGAGGGCCAGCACAGAAATAGCTCAGATGTTTAATAAATAAAGCGCTCGGTTTGTGGTCAGTGCTTCTCAATTTTTTTTGTGTGGTGGGTGGTGGGCAGTGGGCGGTGGGAGATGGGCCTGAGGTGTCTGGGTCGGAGAGGGTGGATGAGGGGAAGAGATTTATACTGGGTATGAGAATCTCTCAGGAATTTTGTCCAGGTGCTCACATCTGGCTAATCTAGTCCAGCCCTTATCCAAGGAATTCTAAGTATTTCTCTCTCTAACCCTCATCCCTAACTAGGAAGTTAGAGAACTCTTATTCTAGTTAACAGCTGGTACAAACTGAAACAGAAGGAGAGAAAAACGTGAAAGCAGTTTAGGCCAAACAAGAAGAGGGGAAAAGAAAATAACCAAATATTTGGAATAAGTAGAATTTGCCCATAGTAGTATAAATAATCACAAAATCATTAATACGGAGAAACTTATTTTTGTTGACTTGCTCATATATGGTGGAAAGAAATAAAAAATACGGTAAGTGATTATTGTAAAGAAATAAGTAAAATAAATAAGCAGTAATTACTCTTTTCCAAAAGAACTTTTCTTGTAAGTCAAAGGTGGGATATGTTGGAGAGAGAGCCCTGTTCCTTAGTTAATAACAGCTGAAATAAGCACAAGTGTCCTGTCTCTGCCGTCTGCCTGGGGGCAGCTTCCTGAGGAGACGGTATAAGGACCTAGAAAGATTATAAATCTTCTTTAGAGCTGTCCTGACATCTTTCAAATCTTTTTCAGATATGGTCTGTCAGGCAAATTTCTTTGAAAAAAATCTGTTCTTCTTTGGCATGAAAGTAATTTTCTCATTAATTTTTGCTTCTTTTTATTTGCTTTGTATCATGTCAAGGACTAGGTAGTAAAGGCTGGATTGATTATGCAGAGATGAGACCTCAGAGAGCCTAAAAATATTGCAGAGGCTAGAAGCAGACTTGCTGTGAATTCCAGGGCTGTCAGAGGACCAGCCAAGTGACAAGGTGGACTCAAATAAGTGCCTTCAAGGCCACTGGAGAACGCCATCCCATTGAACAGAGCAGCCTCCGCTCTGCTCCGCTCCAGCTATTTATTGTTACCATGACAGTGATGCATTGTAAAATACTTTAGCAGAAGCTGTTTGTGACCCTGGTCTTTAAAATCACCTGAGGACCTTTAAAAATATACTGATGTCTGGATCCTACCTGGCCATTAAATCAGAATCTCTGGGGGTGATATTTGGCATTGGATTTTTTTTTTTAAAGCTCTCTAGGTGATTCTAATGTGCAGCCAAGGTAAAGAACTGCTAGCCTAGACAATGTGATATGTTGTGGGTGGGAATATTAAATTACAGACCAGCTGTAGCAGGCAGTATGAACTGTGAGTAATTCACACTGCAGAGATATCAGCCAATAGTAAACCCAAAGGGCCACCCTCCAGAAGTGACGATTCTAAGTGCTTCTGTCAGGGCAACATCAGACGTTTAGTTAATAAACATATTGGATGTCAGAGATTTTTTTAATCAGTGACTTGTCAATTAGCATAACGGATTTCAGAAATGGGCTCTTATTGGTAGAATTAAAGCATATTTTAGAGACACTCCTCAAACTTGTATGAACCCTAGTGACACCTGTAAGGATGGTACCCACCGAGATTCACCTCATTAGAGCAAAGGACACTCCTTTCACCTAGGAAATTCCAAGGCATCTAGAAGGTCTGTGTCAGGAACCAGGTCAAAGACCAAATGTTAGAACAAAAGATGCTCCTAGTGTTCTTACCACTTAAGAAATTGCAAGGATTTTAGGAGCTCTGTGCCAGGAACCAGGGATATACACATACATATATATATATATTCCTACATACAGGAATATACACATACATATATATATATATTCCTACTAGTACAATTAGAACACAGTTGGGGATTCTTGTGTCTCCAGCCAAGAGCAGGCACTTAACAGACCTTTGAGGAAAAGTCAAGAGAAGTTTTCAGAGTCTCTGAGATCTTCCAGTAGAGCACACTGTAAAGTCTGCAAGCTCAAGCTCGGGAAGGCTCCTGGGAGCTCTGGGGACCTGAGGCCTTGGCACACTCCTGGCCACCATATAAAGATGCTCCTTTCTGTTTAACTTCAGTCAAAGGTATATCCCACACAAGGGTCACTTGTAGGAGGAAGTAGAATTTTAAATTTTAAAATTTAAAATCTAATTCCACATCCAAAATATTTTTCATTATAGTATTTTAAGCAAAAATTTTAAAAAATCATACAAAGCAGAATGTGATAAACACTAAAAACAGTGACATGGTGCCTTTGTGAGTAAGTTCTTTGAAGTGTAACTAAGGGGATAAGAGTGCTGACTTTGGAGCTCGAGTTTGAACCAGAACTCAGTCACTTAACCAGGTGTGTGATCTTGCTCTGATTACTTTACATTCTCCAGGACCCCAGTTAGGGAATATTTATGCTTAGCCCACAAAGTTGTTTTGAAGATTAAACTAAGTGAGATAAAGCATCTAAGAATTTCATAGTTGCCAACAATACAAATGCTTGAGAAACGGCAGCTAAAAATAATAAAGCAAATATGGGAAGGCATCGAAAGTCTCTTGTAGGTGGTAGCATCGTGCTTTGTTCCTGATACCTTTGTTGTTCCCATTCACTGTGGCCCTCAACCAGTGTGGAGAGTACACAACTCTCCCGCTGTTCTTTAGCAGGGAGAAGGCATGGAGAACATTTCCATTTATCTCAAAGTCATCAACCCAAATGCAGCTCCTGCTCCAAGAACTAAAGATGGGATGAGAAACAGCCAAGGGCAGTGTGAGAGAGAAGTGGACAAGTATGTTCTCCCAGTATTCTCCGAGAGCTGGGCTGCGCCTTCCCTGGGTCTGCATCTGGGGCCACAGACCAAAGGATCAGGCTTGTTGCTTTTGGTGGTGGCCCGATGACCCTTCAGGGTGACAGTCACTGAGCCAGTTTTGCCGACGTAATAGGACAATTGCTTTCCTCGTCTCTGCTTTCCTTGTCTCCTCTCTCTGCTTCTCCCCTTTATCCCCTCTGACTCCCTCCTCTCCATTTCCTCCTCCTCCCCCTCTTCCTCCTCACAATTAGTCTCCAAAGAAGAATTCATTTTTAGAGGCTAGAAAAAAATTGCTCTCCATCTTGTAAGTTTTTATCTTCTATATTTTGAAAACCCTAGAGACAGTTTTACTCAGAATGGAAGGAAGCAAAGAAGTAAAAATGCACTGATCTACCAGCAGACATGGAATGAAAGCATATTTTCCATGCTCAGATGCACGTGAGCGAACTTCGTTCTCAAGGTCACTGTGGTAATACTGTGAGGCTTGGTCGGTCCTGGTGTCTCAGAAGACACTTTGCCCTCAAAGTCCACTGGTAAACATCCCAGGTGGCTGACATCTTTTCTCAATTTGTTGCTTTCCATGAGAAACACACAAGACACATTTGTATCTTAAAGCATGGACACCAGCAATTAGCTTTAGAGCCCTGATAACCCGCTGGGGTCACACCAGACGAACACAGTTCCCAAAGGGACATGATGATTGCAGTCGGATTGAGTGAGGGCTTCCTGACACCAGGCGCTGACCAACCTCTAGTGCGCCACTAGCCGACTCCGCTGTTCTGTGACTTGGAAAGAGAAATGCCTGCGGGAAATGGAAACCCTGGGCATGTGTGTTCTACTATGAGAACTGAAGCAATAAAATCACTGTGCCATCCGCCCTGGTGACTGTCATACTGCAGGGGATCTGCTGGTATGTTAAACAGTGTCACAACATTCCCCAGACAACTCTACTGAAAATACGTGCATCTAACACCTGAGGGAGGCTGGCTAGAGAATAAACATGTCGCAAAAGAACAAAACCCAGCGTTATAACGCTAAGGTAGTTAAGGATTGTTCATCTGTACATGTGATTAGCGCAACATTTAATTAATTAATTGACTAATGTTTCTCAATATGTGTTTTATGTTTTCTGGCCTTCGTGGTAGCCCAGCACCAAACACTGGCTGTTTCTCAAAATTCCTCGTCTCTGCCTGTCTTCACAGGCCAGCTGTTGAGCCTTGGAGAATGGCCCCCAAACTCCCTGTTTTTGGTCCACTCCTTCAAGCAGCCTGTGCTTCACCCGCACCAAACCAGGATTCCTGTTTAGACTCCCAGTGCTCCATCAGGACCGTGTGCTGTGGGGCAGGAGGGCTCCAAGGGCAGACCACTTGGGCTGGAATCCCAGCTGTGCCTTTACCATGTCTGAAATCTTGGAAGAGTGACCTGGCCTTTCTGGACCTAAATTCGCAAATCCTGTCCCAAGAAATGCACTCACCTCATTGGGTTGTTGTGAGAATCAAATGAGTTAAGACATGAAAATGCTTTGAACGGCTCCTGGCCATAGCAAGTCCTCAGAAACTGCCGTCTAGTACTATCTCAGACTTTGACGGCTTTGCTTTTCCCTCTGTCTGGAATACCTTTAGCTCCAAGTCTTCATCCTTCTGTTTCCTTGTTCAAATGCAGCCTCCTTCTTGGCAAAAGTCCCCTGCTTGCCCACATGAGGCTGATCATTTTTGCTCATGCCACTGACCTGAACTTGTCATTGTCACATTGTATTGACTGTTGTTGTCTAGCTGTGAGCTTCTTAAGGACAAAGCCATTGTCTCTCCTTCATGTTTGTTTCCATCTAAGCTTTTCCCACGGAAGGTTCTCGGTTGATATTTAATGAATGAATAAACCAACCAACCAACCAACCAGGTACTGTCTACTCTGCATTAGTTAATAGAATTGTTAGTGATACTTGGAAAAGGTAGGAAAAAAGCTTATTATGCTTGTTCATTATGAAAGGAATGATGAATTCAGTGTCTTCTGTACACTTCCACATAAGAGGATTTCTTGTGTTCTGACTCAATTCACTTGCCTTGTCTACACTAGGCC